TCTCTTTTAAACTTTTGACATTAATGTAAACATACATTTTTCAATATATTTTGTGTAAAAAGTCATAATCGTTAATGTTATCCTTATATTAACTAATTTATTATTTAATTTTGTTAGACATTTTATTACATTAATCAAATTAGGGTTTGCATCAAAGATGGCCGAATTACGCATCTGAAGCAATTTAAGTTTGAAACGACCAGGGTGATACGCTACCAAGAGTCTATAATATGTCACATTAAAATGTACTTAATATTAACCTGTTTAGACTTCGGAATGTTAATTATTTAGGGATTTTAATTCAGTCATTAGAAAATACTAATTTTTTAATTGAATTTTTCGATAATTATCAACATTACTTTTTTTCTACATAGTAGAAAGTAGCGAACATCTAATTACGTTTTTTACGTTTCACAGGTAATGTTCTTTTATATTTTATTAGAAGCATTGCTATATACGAGGGTAGATTGGAAAGTTCATAGGCTGACTATGAAGGAGTGATGCTAAATCTGTGAAATATTTTATGCATTAATTTCATCTGGTCTTATTGATAACTGCGTTGTTTCTCTCCAGGTCATCTGATATTTGACCATTCAAAGAAGACTTCAAATTCAACTATTAGCGACTTCTCTTGAAAATGAATCGTGATGTTATTAAGTATCTGTTGAAAAAAAGGATTTAGCCGTCGAAGATATTTTGAAATGGTTGCTATGTTAGATAATGGCGGACCACATTTATCTACAATGCAAACGGCGTAGGAAAAGAATGAAGAAACACATACTACAGGTAAATAAAATTAATCGTAAAAATTAAAAATCGTTGATATTTCTTCTTCTTTAATGTACCGTGTCGCATCAGAACTTGAGCAATCAACACTGTAACGCTTACTAATATTTGTTTGTTCTTCATTACTACCAGCCCCTGTTCTATTATTCATTTACACAACCTCTCTACGTAGGTTACTAACAGATTTCTTTAGTACCACTTGCTTCAAAGTCTCGTGAGTATCAAATTCTCCAATTCACCTTTCCTCATTATATGCCCAAAGAATTTAATTTATCTCTACTTGATTCTAAATGTCCTTTTTGTTTCCATTCTACGTAAAACGACGTTGCTATACAGGTCCAGGCCAAGGTATTCTATGCATTGTTTTTGTATTAAACATAATGCCGTTGTCTCTGGTCTGTTCTTCATCTGTGAGCAGATTGTTGACTATTCACTGCCATATACGAGGACCTACATTATTTTCAGCAATTTTTGTTTCTTTTGAAAGTCAAATTTTGCTATTCCCTCGTCCCTTCGTATATAGGTGCCACATTTTTCGATATCTCTTATAATATTTCCGATATAATAAAAATTGCGTACTTGCTTTTTTGTGTCAACGTCCTCTGAAAATAAGGTTTATTATTCAGTGGACTTTCTATATTAAAGTCTGCCAAATAGAAACCTCGAGAATCTCACAAGTTACTGGCTTACTATTAAAAAGACGATGATGATGGTGTGTGTGATATGAATTTTAAAAAAAATACATCGTAGGAAGTTATAATTACTTGCAAATAATAAGGATTGATACTGATTAATCCTTTAATCGAAAAGGTCAAGATTGTCGAGTTTAAGGAAGTACCCACACGTAAGCATCTTCAACAACATAGCAATTCTTGAGGAAATCTGAGTGTAACGTTCTTCTGATATATTGGAAGCAAAAGGGCAGAGTGACCTACCTATCGAATTTCTAACAGCTGAAACGAAAAGGGGTGGTAAATATTCAAAAATTGCTTAGAGTTAGAATTGATGGAGTGTCATTATTGCCCATGTTCAGAAGAAAAAGGACATATCATAGAAAAAAGTATTTGGAGCTTGTTGCTTTGATAGCAAAATAGTTAAATATTTGCTATAAATAAGGGATAATTTCAGACACATCTTGCTAGTAATTAGATTATACAAGAAAACTGGAAGACCACATTAGCAATGGTAGTTACAGCAAAGTGATAAAGGATTACTATGAAAACAGAACGCAGACTGTCACAGATCCTAATCAAGAACAAGGATCACTTCACACCTAAGACGTATAGGCAGTTATCACAGCGTTACACCAAGCTACCTCATATATACGGTCTCACTAAGATTCACAAAGACGGTATTCCGCTCAGGCCGATTGTTAGTTGCCAAGGCTCTGCGTGCCATCCTCTGAGTCGCTTCCTTGTAGATATATTTGACCCATTGATTGGAAAGTCTCCTTCATATGTCCGAAACTCCACCCACTTTGTGGAAATAATCAAAGATGCTCCCATCCTATCCAACCAAATGGTGAGCTTGGACGTAGTGTGTTTGTTCACCAAGGTACCCACGGAGGAGGCACTCTCAGTAGTCAGAGACAGATTGGCCTCTGACCCTTCCCTAGAAGAAGGGACCAGTATTCCAATCGATAATCTGATGGAGATGTTGACTTTCTGTACACAAACAACACATTTCGGAATGGGATCACACATATATCGAAAGGATGATGGCTTAGCAAAGGGCTCGCCATTATCACCAGCAATAACGAATATATACATGGAATACTTTGAGGAAATGGCGTTAGAATCTATATCTCTAAAGACAAATATATGGTTATGGTACGTAGTTGACACCTTCATACTCTGGCCACACCAGGAAGGTGTTCAGATTCTACTGGACCATGTGAACTCAATAAGACCTTCGATACAGTTCACAATAACAACACATTCCCATTCCTGGATGTTCTAATATCTCGAACAGAGCATGGGTTCAAGACATCCGTATACCGCAAACCGACATTTACCGGACGGTAGCTCAATTTCAAATGCCACCATCCATACATCGTGAAGAAAGGGATCATTCGTTGCTTACAACACCGAGCAAAGGTCATAAGTGGCGACCCAGAGACGTTAGATAAAGAATTGGTCAGTATCAGTAGTACCCTACAACGTAAAAACTACCCTGGGTACATGGCAGCAGCACCACCAAAACTGTGATAGGCGGGTACAAAAGAGGAGCACAACAACACTCAGAAAACAGTCTGCCTGCCTTATGTGAAGGGGCTATCAGAGAAAATACAAAGGATCTGCAGTCCATATAACATCAGGACAATCTTCAAAAGCTTCACGACACTTCGCACATATCTCTCCCGTGTAAGATCCCCCATAGAGGAGAACATGACTAAAGACTGTGTGTACGCTATCCCGTGCAGCTGCGGAAAGGAATATAAATGAGAGATAAGCCGCCCCCTCAAGGTAATGCTTCAAGAACACCAGAAAGCTGTAACACGAGGGGAAGTAGAAAAATCAGGCGTGGCTGACCACATATGGAGAGGGAAGGGAGATCACCGCCCTTTGTAGGATCATGTTGAGATCATAGACAAGGAACACCATTGAAAAATTCGTAAACTTAAGGAATCAGCACATATGCTAGGCCACAAAAATCTCCTGAGCCGACCAAGCATAGAAATAAATACAATATGGGAACCGGTATTAAAGAGTGCCAGAGAAAAGCAATGGTAACAACAAAAGTTGCAATATGAGCTCTGGTAAAAACATGCAATGATAACAGCAATATGACCACTGGTAAAACTGGTTGCTGAAGACATTAGGTTTATAATACCCAGAAATTCATACCCAGACGGCACAGTGGATAAAGGCGTTGGTTAGATCCAGTGACAGGATCCAACGAGTGTGACTTCAATACCCGGTTAAGGCAGTGGAGAACTTTCAGAGGGAAATTAGCAGGAGATAACTGATAACATCAAACATGGCACGTGGAACTAGAACAGTCTACCCCAGTGTGCGAAATAAAGGGTTCAGTTGGAAATGCCAACCACCTGAAGAAGTCCGGAGTGTACAACGGCCGAAACGTAGTGATAAATAAGGCGAAAAAGATGAGGACAATAGTCCGAATAATGTAAATAATGTATCTTGCTAGTAGTATGTCCTAGTTGTAGGAAAATGGTGTGTGTCACGTGGAGTGATGGACATCAGCTCGGAATCGGAAATCGGAGACCTGAATTCGAACTCCAGTTACGTGCAAATACCCTTGGGAAAAGTATGAATCCATTTTGTCTCCTCCCAGCTATGGATTGTATAGCAAGACAGGCAACCAGTCTACGACAGAAAGAAACAGCAACCTTTTGCGTGGAAATCTTCTGCTTAGTCCGTTATGAATCGAAAGAAATGTAATAACACAAGTGTGTGCTACGCATGGTTCTTAACTGACTGACATTTTTTTTTAATAAATTCACCCCAAGTAATGCGGGAATGTACGCAGTGGGGGGGGGGTTACAGAGAGTGAAGGTGAGAAACAAAGGACAGGCAAGGAAAGGATAAAAGCTGATCGGAGTTCAAGAAGATAGATGATGGCGATTGGCATTGCTTTTAAATTTTGGAAGATTTTAGTTATCAGGGAAGCAAGGAAACGGGAGGGTTTCCACGGGCGGGAAGTGCGAGAATAGAAACTGTGAGAGTGTGAAGTAGTGTTTATATTTACCTAATTCAACAATAAATGTGTGGGACCTAGGTAATATTCTAATAGCACACTTAAACTCACGTAATCCGGGTAGCAGAGAAAAATAAACCTCGCCAGGGCAGTTGACATGAAAGAAATTGTAGACAAGACAGAGGTAAGCCAGGTCACGTCGGTGAGAAGGTGACTGAAGGGTAGATGCTAAGTCAGGAGTGATTACATTGCGGATCCTTCTTTGGATTTTATCAAGAACCTCGAGATGAGTAGCAGGATCACCTGACCAAATATTCAATAAAAAGGAAAGGGTTTTTTTTGTTTTTTTTTCCTATTATTCTTTTTTGTTTGTGATACTATTTTTGTCTTCATCATTCCGCTGTCCATAACTCGATGCAGTGTTGTTGGGGTACGACATATGATTAACAATTGCTCAGCTTCCTTCTCGACTTCATTTCACTTGCAGCTTTCTGAGATCCGCTGACCGATGTCTGTTTTCTCTAATACCATTTTGTTCTTTCCATGATTTTACTATGAATTCTTTTGAAAATTTTTTCCCTCTTTCTTTCTCTCGTCTCTTGTTTTCTTTTTTTTTTCTTCTTTTCAATGTCTTCTACTTTTCTCTATTTTCTTTATTCACAAGTTTGTCACGTGTCTTTTCTGTCTCCATAAGAAGATTAACATATTCCAATCTGCAGCCACTTTCCCTAAAAACGGGGCTTTGCAAACCTGTTGCCATTCCACTGCTATTTCCAGATGAACTCCATTCTTTAGGTCCATCAGTTCAGACATTTACACGCCATGTTGCTTCAACGGAGTTGAATGATTATCATTTTGTCCTTCTTGCAAACGTAAGAAGAATTCCATTCAGAGAGATTTTTGCCAAGAACTGCCACTTTGTAGAACCGCCTCCTACGTGGATGTTTCCCTAAACACTTCAGTCATAACCACTTCAAGTTAAGAGGCAATCGTTATCTATCATATTTATTTGAATAATGTTCAATTTCGACCCATTTATTTTCAGTTCAAGTCACACCCATCTTCGTTACCATCTTAACAGTAATACTCTATCTTGAATGTCTCTCGAGTTTTGTATTAGGGGAATTTCAACATAAACGTCTTTGGTTAGCTTTCTGATCTTTCATTCATTCGTTAGTTCTCTCTTTTAGTCAGATTTTCTACTGTTTTCTCTTTCTCTTTTTGTTTTTCGTCGATTTTTTTTATCTTTTCTTTCCTTTATATTCTTTCTTTCTTTTTATGTGTGTTTATATCTTTCTTTCTTTCCTTCTACTCACTTTGTTTTTATCCTTCTTTCTTCCTATTCTCCTTCTGCTTTTTTATTATTTTTCTGCTATTATTTTTTTCTCTCTTTCGTCTCGTTATTTTCCTACCCTCTTATTATTTGATATACTGTTTCTTTCATTAAAATTCTCTTTCTGTCGCTTCTTCATTTCTGTTCTTATTTCCCTTCTTTTTCCCCGTCGCTTTTCAATTGTTTTTTTCCTTTCCGCTTTCTTCTCGTTCTTTGTTTCTTTTACTTATTTCAGGCATTTTTTCTTGGATGCTTGTTCACCTAGTTTCATCTTCCTTTCTTTTCTTTTCGTTCTTTCTTTCTTTCTTTCTTTCTTTCTTTCTTTCTTTCTTTCATTCATTCATTCTTTCTTTTCTTTCTTTCTTTTTGTTATATTTCTCTCGTCTTTCTTTTCACGACTTTGTATATATATTTTTAATATCTCGTTTCTTCTTTTATTCCTTTGTCGCTCTCATTTATTTATTTATATATTTAGAACCTTTAACCTTCATTTGCATTTTTCTATTTCATATTTTATTTCTTATACCTTTCTTTCTCGCTCATTTTCCTGTGTCTGCCACACTCACCTTGAACAAAACTATTTTTATCTACTTTGTCTCTCTTTCTTTTTCTATCACTCTCGCTCCGCTTTTACTGTTTTTCCCTCTATTTTTCACTCTCTTTCGCACTCAGCCTTTCCCACACGCAGTGTCTTTGTTTCTCTTTCTGTCTCTTTATAATTATTGTTTCTAGCTAACATTTCCTTGCTATCTGCCTCACTCTCCTTCATTTTCTGTCGCCATCTTTCTTTCTTTCTTTATGATGTTTTTCCGCACGTATGTTATTTCTTTCTAACTCTCTTTTCGTTTTCCTCTCATTTCGTTTCTTTTCTTTTATGCACCCTTTCAATTACAACACTCTTTTTCTCTCTTGTTTTGTCCCTTTCTTTTCTTCTCCCTCTTTTTCTCATATAAGTACATTATACTATTTCAACACTCAACGTCAAATAACCATCATGGCGCTATCAAAGGAAGAGCAAGAAAAATTACCTTTTTTTACAGTAAGGTTCACTCTGTATAAGGCCGGTGATCTCTCGAGGTAGAGGGTTACGATAAGAGGTAGTTCATATGGATAATAGGGGGAATATAACGGTTTGATTTTAGACTTGAACAGATTAATATTGTAGTAACTCGGGAGTCTGTCCCCTAGAGTAATGTTTCGCGGGAAGAGGCTGTTTGAGTGGAACTTACTTCTCGTCGAGAAACGGAGAGAATGGCGATGGTTTGCTACTAGGTAAGTGGCATGACGGCTTCTAGCCGTGTAAGCCCTGGAGGAACCCGGAGATTCACTTATCTAAGATCATTCCAGGTTTCTACTGCGATGGATCTAATTAAGAGTGGATATTTCAAATTCGTCCTCATTAACTTGCAAAGATAAAAGAATTTATGAAACGATCATTTTCAATTTTGGTGAAAGAAAACCCAAATATAGGAAGTTCTATCTTACTTAGCAGTGTTTGTCCCAATAATGAGAAACTCGTATTCCACTCTGTTTCGTCTATCAGCCACACACACCAAAAAAAAAAAAGACTCATGCGTGAAACTCTTTTCCCCTTCAGACAGTTCCTTTGACCCAGAAAAATATTTAGTGTACAACCCTAAAAAGATAGCGTAACGAATAACTTCGGTTAATGTGATCATCAGCTGGTGATCAATTTCCCAATAAGTCTGCTAAAATGGATCGATAAAGCTAGTCGAATCAAAACAGTTTAGTTAATAAAGGATCTCTATTTTGTCTAATTACTTCTTATTAGGCGTCTTTGAAGTCGTCTTGCGTTTGTAGATAAATCATTTCTAAAAAGAGGAAAAAAAAAACGAATCAAGTTCATGTTATTTTTAAACTGGGTACCATCTCGAAGATTCCAATCAATAGTAATGCAAACAGCATACGACTAAGCACCGTAGTAAACTGTTCGTCACATTTTAACACACTTTCTACCACTTGTGTGCTTTTATTACGATATTTATTTCATAGTTTTTACCTAACATATGATTTCTGTTGAGGACTGACAGCAAGATTCTCCGAAATAAAAGACAGCTAAGGCTGGGGACACACCGACTGTAAACGATTTCACATCAGACCTCAAGCGAAATTCATATATACAATCCCTTGATATAATTTCTTCTCTGGTTTTTGTGCAACTCAGTTAAGTGCCATCCGTGATACACGTTTGGGCGATCTCCTACGATTCATGATTGACTAGGCAGAAGATTTTTGCCGCACAAGGTGTAATGAAAACAGGACAAGGGATTCTGTCTCGTAATCTTTGCTCAGTGTCCGAAGGCTCATAAGGAAATGGTCCAATGTTTCGCCTGATTCTTGTCGGCGAGTCGCAAGTAGGTGTCTAGAAAATATCTCCTTTTGGGGCTATGTATGTAGAGTTCAGTACATCGATTGCTTCTTCGTAGGTAACGCAATCCGAGATAATTTCGTTGACTGTGTGAGACAGGTAGTTGGTTAGGAGCGCACGCTTATTGATGGGACGTCCCGGTCTTTCTGAATGTAGAACCTCGATGAAATTTGTAAATGTCTCCCGCCAATGTTTCCAGCACTTGTCGGCTGAATCGCTTTCTGGATCTGTGGTAAGTCGCTCAGGTCGCATAAATTGTTCCATTCTTAATTGAATAAATTGTAATGAAAACAGGACAAGAGATTCTGTCTAGTAATCTTTTATTCAATTAAGAATCTTACTACTCGTCTACTTGACAAGCGGAAATGTACAGCTTTTATAGCTTGGATTATCAAAAAGGAGATAATCCATATTCACAACACTAGGTTTCCATTTCTTTCAGCGGTAGACTAGTGTAGATCATTTCTTTTTGCGACAGAAAGTACCTAACCCCTTCTGCCAGGTTCTATCTTAGAGCAGAAGAAAAATGGAGTATCGCTAACATATCCGGATTAGAATTTCACAGTCTCCAGATTTTATAGTGTTTAAAATCATATACAAGGATCTTATTAAAAAAAAGTTTCATTATTCACTCTACATCCCCTTTCCAACTGATATCACGTCACAGAACTATTACTATTCCATCACTGTGTCCATGATGAAATGTTCAGCTGAGTTCCACTATTTAGTTCCATGCGTTCAGAGTTTCCAGGTAGAATAGACTAAGCTACTTCCACAGAAGTGAATCACCCGCATTTCTTTTTAATAAAAATCTAATGAGAAACTTCAACCCAGCGAGCTTTTCTTCTCCTAAGAACTGTTACTACGTGTAATAGACATCCAAGAAAATTTCACTCTTAACCCCTTCTTGTCGAGGCTCAGCTGTTATCTATCTTCGTTATCCTAATAATCTTTACTTCCTACCAACTTCTGTTTCGTTCATATCACATAACTATTTCTTCATAACCATTTTAACAGTAGTCCTCTACCTTGAGTGACGCTCGAGTACTGTAGTATGTTAACTTTAGTATATACAAAACTATTGTAAAACCATTTTTCAATTAGCAATATATAGGAGACAAATATTTGCTCGAAGTATTAAGATATGGGGAGATTTTAAGATTCGCTAAATTGTTACAGAAGTCTCGAATTATGGGGCACCTAGTGAGGATCAAACTATCTGTTCAGTTTTAATTGATCTTATGAGACAAGCTTGCTGATCATTACACGACATCCAGCTGTCTTTTTTTTTTCTAAGTGTAGCTGAGATGTGGTAAAAAAGCCTGATGTGTGAATCACATAGTGAGGATTGAACTCAGCACTCAGTCGTAACTGATCTAGCCAGACAAGCTTGCTAACTATCCCACCACATCGAAGTTAATATATGCGCTGTTAATTTGAAAAAAATATACTTTTTGCTTGTTTGTTTTCTTTTCCACGGTTTTAAAGCCATTTCAAATTTATTAAAATGATCTGCCTAGAATGTTTGACGACAGGAAACGGATATCCGGTTTCTCTTCCATTAATGACGCATTGGTTTAATAATTTTATCAATGGATTCTGTCGGTTGTGAATCAATCTGATACGGAATGTTTGTTTTAACTTGGTTCAGTGTAGTTCGCAAATACGCTTTTAAGTAGGCGCCCAAGGGGGTCGTCAGTGATGTTTTTGACTTGGTTCATCAGGGAGTTTCGGGTCTTTCAACATCATACTCCCCATCACCAAATCGACCCAATCAGGGGAGATCAACCCCGGATTCACCATTCCAACTAAACGCTAGCAGCCACTCTGGCCTTTTTAAAGAATAAGAGGAAGAAAGACCACATGTTCCGCACGTCCGATTGGATGTTTGTAGTACAAAGTTGGCTGCTAACGGAAGAAATGCCAGATAGGAAGATTATATTGCCAAATAGATACAGATCTGTTGACTTGAAAATATATATTCGAAACTCCGGCTTTTAGGAGGAGCATCCGTATCGCCAACAAATTGATTCTAAAGTAATTGAAATTGTGTCAACTAGGTTTTCCAAATCGAAATATTATTATCACATATCCTTCGCACGTTCAAAATAAATTTACTATATTGTAAGAGGTTACGAGATGGACATGCAACTTCATCATATATTACTTCTTATATTCAACATTTCCTCGTCAATATTCACGATCACATTAATTAATTAATTATCTAAATTTCTTGATATGACGACAAAATATATCCGGCAGCTTGGCTTTTGATCAGGAGGTTTTGAGAAGCGTGGAACGATCTTTTAATTGCTGATCTTTCTAAGTCTATAGTAACCCGAGTCTTAGAGCTGTTATGGTTCCAGCTATGGGCAAACAGTTAGCCCCTAAACTGGGGTCAAAATGAAAGTAAAAAAAAAATACATTTTTATAGTAAAAATACCAGCAATACATTTTCATAATGAAAAATATATTTTTTTGAAAAAACATATTACCAGTAAGGCAATTGTTTCGTTAAAAATTACTAACGCTACAAAGAAAAATAAATCACGACATTAAATAACCCACAAGGAGTTGATATGCCGCTAAACAAAGAAAGAAAACAACATTAATTATCTATAAAATTTTAGTATAATGTCTGAAGGTAGCAGATGAAAATTCAACTTTATCATATATTCATGCTTATATCCAACATTTCACCGGCAGTATTTACCATCCCATGAATTAATCATCAGCAAAATTTTACTATAACGTCAGAAGATATCAAATAGAAATGGAACTTCATTATATAGTTCTTCTTATATTCAACATTTCTCTGTCAATGTTCACGATCCTATAAATTTAAAATCGACAAAAATTAAAATAAGTCAAACATCCAATTCTGTCAACTTGAATTTTCTTATTTTATTACCCGTTCTACCCAGCATTTTCTCGGTTTTATTCATCCAGTTGTTTTTCATTTTTAGTAAAACCTTGAACCTTACAGGCTTTATCGGTTTGCTTACGGTGAATTAATTAAAAAAATAAAGTAAAAAAAAAAAACACTTTAATTTAATTATGGAAGACGTAGATTTAAAAACCAGGTCACAATGTCAAACCACGATTTAAGCTGATAAAGTGCAATGACGTTCTACATTCTTCTTCTATGTGCCGTGTCCCCTCAGGAATTAGGCGATCATGGCTCTCCACAATTTCCTGTCGTTTGTAGCTCTTAATAACTTTGCTCTTATTATTATTTCGCCTAAACCTCGTTCCGCTATCCATTCCCTCAAGCTCACTATGTATGTTATGCGTCATTTTCCTCTGTGCCTCTTGCCTTCAGTCTATCCTGTGAGTATTAGATTTTCCAAGCCTTTTTTCCTCACTCTGTGCCCGAGAAATATCAAATGTCTAACCTTTTGTTACTAATTATAAGTTTCGTTTTTGTTTCCATTTTTTCTAAAACTTTATCGATGCTCTCATTTTCCGTCAATGTTATCACCAGCATCCTTCTGTAGAAGCACATTTCTGTTTCTTCTATCTGAAACAGCCCGCGCTTTTCATTCTGTTTTTACTGTTCCCTCGTATTAGCAGTAAAAACGTAAATCTTTCGTAATATATTTTCCCTGACACTAATCCTCTTTGATCGATTCAGTCATCAAATGTCAAAAAGATTAGATTTTTTTTTAATATTTGCCTTGTTGAAATCGGAAACTTTCATCACTGTCATTCTTTACCTATTTCTCTCACTTACTCCTTTCTCTTTCTCTTTCTCTCTCACTCTCTCTCTCTTTCTCTCTCTCTCTTTCTCTCTCTCTCTCTTTCTCTCTCTCTCTCTCTCTCTCTCTTCATAGATAAAAATAGATTATGAAATGTACAATGTCCGACAATTATGAAAATTTCTCAGACATTCAGGCCAGTAAAAGTCGTTAATACTGTTTATTATAAACAGAAAATTTACTTAAATATTTGTATCTATAAAAAGAACGTATAAACATAAAAATGTCTTAAAATAAAATTAGATGTGCAAAAAATGTTTAAGTAACGTGTTTCGTCTTCCCCGGCCTAATAATGGTTTTATTGTTTGCGTCACTCATATGGTGAGGGAAAATGCAACAAATGCTGAATTAAAATTTTAAGAAAATTCAAATATTATACTGAATTTTAAAGTTAAATCTAAATTAAATTTTGATTTAAATCTAAAGCTATGCGTCACTCTAAATCAGTGGTTCCTAAACTTTTTTTCTCTGTACCGCATTTTCGAAATTAAAATTTGTTCGCGTTTCATCAAAATTTATGTGATGAAAAATACATTTAAAAATAAAAAAAACAAAGAGGTTTAAAGGGAGATAACCGCAGATTCGAAGTCAGAACATTATCAGTGATAACTTTCTCCTCCAGTTTGCGGATTCTAGTTACTATATTCTTAATACTTGATATCATCCCAAAATATGGCAATGATAAAATTGGTCAATAATTATGTATGACTAATTATACTAGGACGCATGCATGCAATTAAAAGTAATCCATAATGATATTTTAAATTTTGAAATAATATTTATTTTTGGCAGATGAATATTTTGAAACTGGTTGTCTTTCAATCATTCCATCTCATCTGCTATCCTTTTTCGCCACACCGATGAGGCACGGCCCGCTATTGCCTAAATTAAGTATTTTCGATGTAAAATTTTAACAGAGGTTTGCTGTGTTTCTCTCTGCAACCATATATAGGGCGCAGCAGAAATACCTCCTTCAGTTTAAAGCTTAACCCTAGAATACTAACAATCAATTAAAGTTAAACCACTACTAACCATGGGTATATCAAACCCGATTTTGAAAACATAAAAAAAATATTAAATATAAATGTTTATTTGAAATATTTTACTTGCAGGCACTTCAAACTTTGTGCTTTGAGGTAACATTAATAGGAACTGAAAAAACATTTTTTTAAGCGTTTCACCCCAAGCAAGGCGGGAAGCCACTAGGACGCAAGGGGTTACAGAAGATTTGGAGCAAGATCAGATAGGAGTGATAGAGGAAAGCATGAGGAGAAGGACAGTGGATAGATCAAGGCAACTGGAGATGTCGATTGACATTACATTTGAATAGTTGGAGACTATAGAACTCAGGGAAACTGGAATAGGGAAGGCAGCTCCACAGGCGAGAGGTGCGATACATGAAGCTATTGGAGTAGAAGAGACGGCTACATTTAGTAGTTTCGACAGTAAAAGGGTTAGAGCGGGATGCCAGCCTCGTCGTGCGCTTGAACTCATGAAGTCTGGGAACCAGCGAATGCAGCTCCTCGAAGTAATTACCATGAAAGTATTTGTAAAACAGAGAGGGAGAGAGAGACGACGGCGCGTCTGTGAGAGAGTGACTGTAGATAAGAACAGGGCCAATTATATTGCATATCCGCCTCTGGATCCTATCAAGAACCCCGAGGCAAACAGAAAGGGGCTCCAGACCATATATGGCAGCAATACTCCATGCAAGTGCGAATTGTTGATTTGTAGATCTAAAGGATCAATTCCGGGGAGAAAAATTTCCTTGCGCGACACAGGTAGCCAACTTTCCTTGCGGTGGACAAAGCAATTGGTTCACTGTATTTGTTCCATCTCAGGTCAGCAATCAACGTAAGACGGAGCAGCCGCAGACAGGTGTTCCCGAGAAATTGAGCGTCAGACAGGTAAGAAATCAGGTACTGAAATTTGTAATTAAAAATAGGAAAATTTGCGTTGGGTACTATATACCCATGATTAGTGTTCTAGGGTTAACAAAAAGACCACGATAACTGTTATTAAAATGTATTTCATTGTTCTTTAAACGAAAGGTGATAGTTTTTATTATTATTTTTTATTAAAAGACATCCTCTAAATCGTGGCATCTATTCTCTATACAATATTGTAGACGATTTCTAAAGTTTCCATCACTCCGAAGTTCGTGGTCTTCGAGGTGGCTTTAAGCGATAAAGCTGTGACTCTAAAATTTTCAACACATAGCAGTATCGATTTTCTATCCTGAATAGCATCACTCCGGCTTAACATGAAAGGAGAACAAGATCTTTGTGATACACTTCTTTTTTTGTGCCGTATCGCTTCAGGACGTACAAGATCACAGTCCTCCACATCTTCCTATCCACTCTAACTATTAATAAGTTTACTTTTTTTTATTATTTATCTCAAACCCTGTTCTGCAATCTATTTACTCAAATTCATCAAGTATGTGACGCGCTGCTACCTTCTGTCCCTCTTTCTCGCAATATGTCCTGTGAGTAACAGATTTTCCAAAACCTTCCTTCCTCATAACGTGCCTCCAAAATTTCAACAGTTCTCTATCTGATATATGTATCAGTATCCTTTTTAGATTTATTTTCTCTAAAATCTCTTCGTTGCTCATATGTTCGGTCCATGGTATCCTCAGTATTCTTCTGTAGAACCACATTTCTGTTGCCTTTAAGCAACAGAAATATTCATCTACCAGAAATATCTTCTTTATCTTTGAGGAGATTGTCCAGCATTCGTTGGAATATAGGAGAATAGATATCATGTAACAGTTCAATAATTTTTTCTCTGTTTTTAACGAGATTCTTTTGTCTTTTAATACTCTGCTTAAATTTTGGAATGCAATTTTGGTCATCCAAATAAGTCTTTGGATCTCAATGTCGCACATTTCTTCCTCTGTTAGAATATTTCACAGATATTTCAATTTTTCTACTTGTTTCATTTTACTGCCCCGACTTCGATGCTCATCTTTTTACTGATAATCATGTAGTCATCTTGTAGTTTATACTTAGCCCTTTCTTTTCTCTCTCCTTCGCTAACTTCTGTGAGAGCTTTCCCTGATCCAAGCCCTGCTGGCAACAGATGGTATCTGAAAGGAACGGTAACAAAATAGTAATGAGCTAGATGAAGACACCATTACCACATGACTAAATTCACAAGCGCCGTCCAGGTGACAGTTGAAAATGTGGCAGGTATCTCTGTGATATAATGGAATATGCATACACCTGTGTTCCCCCTCTGTTATGGGATCTTTCCCATAATAATAATGATAACGGACTATTCCATACTTAAATACTGCGTCTCAGGAGTAAGCAAGGAGTCGGTAGTTCAAGTCGAGTCAGTAGTTCAAGTCGAGTCAGAGGCAATCCGAAACATAGTTGCGTTCAGACAATTACTTCAAGACATTCGAATAGTGATACTGGTCGAGACTACATTGTTCTCTATACTAAACCTGATTGTTCATACTAACACTTCTACTTCTCTGTATATATTCCTGTTTGTAATATATCTGTGTTATTCCATACCTGTGTTCGAGTTCTTCTTTATTGGTTCTACCTTGAACTATCACCGTGGTACAAGGAACCGGACCATAAAACCCTCACTGGAGTGTGACTGGCTGGTGTCCGACATAAACATCGACGGATATGTAGGAGAGTCAACGGAGCCTTAGTCTGAGAGCTAAATCTATAAAGACGCCCATTGGACTACGCCATTGATCTACACTTAGTACCTGCGACTAGGACGCGTACCAGTCGATTACTACTACCGTATTCTACTTGGTTATAGTAGACAAAACCACTGAACTACTTCGTTCAAATATATCCCTTTCTGGGACATGTCCCTCTGCCTTTTTTTGTATATGATAGTGACTCAACCGATAAAACCATTGTTAGTTTGTTGAAGTATTTTTCAGGTTGAAACGCGAGAGGTAGGACTATTTTCCATTTCGTCATCGAATTACCCACAATTAGTCCGATATAGAAATTTGTATATCATATAGATATGCGCCGATTAAGATAGATGGATATGAACAGATAGATAGATAGATAGATAGATGGATGGATAGATAGATAGATAGATAGATAGATGCCATAATTTGCATCTGAGGTGATTAATGTAAAGGTGCGTGCTAATAAAATAAACACGCCCCATCTCACCTCTCGCTTGTAACCATCCACTCTAATAAAATAAACTTGTTCAGAGCTAAAGCATAATAAGCTTCTTCCCAAAGTTGTTGCTATATTACAAGCTGCATTTTCTTATACTCATGGTACTGAATGAGACTCAAATTGTGGCGGACTTCACCACATTAATTTAACTTTAGATTAGGAAACAAGCCTGAAGCAGAAAAGGATAAGCAAAAGACATTGTTACACATAAAATATGTATTTAACAAGATGTACAATATATAACAACGATGTGAAAGAAAGCATACATTTAAGTAAAAAAAGGTTGAAATAAACAAGAATTGTCTCTCTTTAACTGTTATTTTAGTATTTCAAAGTTCATGAGTGTCTCTTATAATGACTGTTCTTAACAGGTTTGCCGTGTAAGAAAAGATTATGTGATTGTGTACAAGGTATGTTCAGCATGTGAGTGGTGTGTGTGAGTGAGAAGGTTGGCGCATGGTTTCAACTGTCGTGGATTCGTTTGGCAGCTGAATTCTCACTAATTAGTTAAGAAAATTCTTGCTTAAATAAGTGACTATAGGCTCCAGATCGCTGCGCGGGAAGAATTATTCTTCACGTGCAAGCGATCTGATTGGTAGGCATAAACCAATCAGCGAGCGAGCTTTGGGGAGACTTAAGAAGGCTTCTGTGATCCGTTTCTCCCAAAAGTGCACAAAACTGACTACATGAAAATAGAGCGATTACAAAATTGTCGCGTTGCTGCGATTTGTAAATTGTCTATAATAACGTAGTGGTGATTTATTAACCAATGAATGCTTGACGTTGTATGTGATTTGTATTTTTATATGTATGTCTGTTCGTGCGTGATAGACTCGCACAAAATAATGCAATTATGCTGCACCATTATTATTTTTTTAAATTTCGCTTTGCACACTGAGAACT